CTATTAACTCAAATGTGTGGAAATGCTGAATAAAAAATCCTGAGTCAGTAGCTGAGAATTGAATTTTCATGCAAGTCACAGTCATAACTCTAGGATGAATCAATGTACCGGAACTGCTGCTATGTTGAAGTCGAAAAACCACTGCACAGGTAGCTGGCCAAGGTTAACTTCTACCAAACTTCTTTAATTAAAGAGGTTAGATCTGCTACTGCTGCTTTCTTATCACTTACTCCCGATCTTTGATATCTTCCCTTTATTGCACCCCTCTTGATCATTACTGATGGCTTCTTAGTCATCTTTACATCCCTCGTGCTTAGCAGAGAACACAACAGGGGGTTCTGAAATACATGGTAGAAATCTATGACTTCTTGTCCATATTCTGTTCACTTTGGCCCTGCTGAAGCAAGACATGGTACGGACTTGGCCTCTTCCCCATTACATGTGATTGCTTTTCTGATGTTCTTCCCCTGTCTGTCTGTCTGTCTCTCTCTCTCTCTCAGTCCTCTCTTCCCTACTGCCCCTTGCCCAGCTTAGACTGTCCCTTCAAAGATATTTTCCCACCCTTATAGTTGGCTGCAATTGAAGGCTAGATCCTCCACTTCCTTCTGTGCTTCACCGTTATCCAGGAAAAGATGATTATTACAGGTGTTATGATAATAGTCAGTGCCTAGTGTGTACTGGGAACATTGCTCAATATCTTATACCCCACGATCTCCTGTGGTAGGTATTGTTACTCCACATTATGGGTGAGAAAAATTAGGCTCAGAAATTAAATTATTTAAAGACACACACCTAGTAAGTTCTAGAACAGGGATATAAGCCTGGGCCTTCCTGATTTGAAGGTCCTGATGCCTTCAAAACAAGTAACAAAATTTAAAAAATGGAGAAAGTAAAAACCATGCTGTTTCTGACAGCATTATTGGTTCTAAGCTGTCTCTGTCACGTTGGTGCTGTGTTTTCTGCTTTCTGGTAACCCACCTTAACTCCAAGCTCACCTTGCCGAAAACTGCTCCTTCAGTTTTCTTTTCCTTTTTTTATTTTTCTTTCTTTCTTTCTTTTGGTTCCAGGGATGGAACCCAAGCACACACTTAACCACTGAGCCACATCCCCAGCCCTTCGTTTAGAGACAGGGTCTTCCTAAGTTGCCTAGGGCATCACTAAGTTGCTGAGGCTGACTTTGAACTTGCAATCCTCCTGCCTCAGTCTCCCAAGCTGCTGGGGCTCATTTGGTTTTCTAAACCTGTTCCTGTCATTCTTCCATCACAGTTGCTATCACTCTCAGAGTCCTGGAAGCTCAAGTTCACGGAGCCCCTTTTGACTTTTCCTTCTCCTTTGTTTTCAAAGCAGATTGCTGAATGCCCTGCTCTCTCCCTCTCCACTCCTACCATCACTACTCAAATCCCAGCTGGCTCTTCTCCCTTCTTGCCTGATAATTGCCATAGAGTCCTAACTGGTCTTTCCATTCTTCCCATCTTCCCTCTGGAATCTATCTTACAGTTTACCACAACATTAAGTTTCCTAAAGTGAGGCTTTGCATTTGTCACCCCTAATTATAAACCTTCAAGTGGCTCTTTTTCAGGAATAAAATCCAGACTCTCTAGCCAGATTTTCAAAGCATTGAACAATCTGGTTTCTCTTGATAGCCTCATCTTTGTTTCCTACTTCATACCTATAGGAATTCTTGCTGCAGCAGGGCTGGTCTCCTTGTTCAATTTGAGATGGACATCTTAACCAGGGTGATGGTGTCGCTAAGCATCCAAAATGGAATGGCTTTAAAAGTGAAAAGGAGCATTATTAAGAATCAGGCCAACAGGCATAAACTGGGATCATCCTGGACTAACTGGGATGTATGGTCACTCTTCTCTCAATGTCCCCCATACACACAGGCCATCCAGAGCAGCCACCAGTGGAATATGTCCAGGATCCTTACCAGCCTCTGTACCTGGAGTCCCCATCTTTGACAAGACCCTCCAGACTTACGCCCTCAGTGTAGGCTGCCTGCTCACCTTTGGTTTGGTGTGCTCACTGTGAAAGTCTCTTCCTGACCTACCAGCTCCAGAAGCAAGTCCTTCCCCTCCCAGGCCAGCCTCAGTCCTCATGCTTTCAGAGCACTGCCACCTCCATACTATCTGTCCTTTCCTTGGACAGCTATCCAGTTGCTTCCCTGCCCTGCCCAGATCTTCCAGCAGAGCCATGTCTCTCTTCTCTGATGGTTGTACTCTCTAATCTCTTTCATTTCTAGTATTCAGCAGAGCCCCATGGAACAGCAACTAAACTTGAAAATTGTTCAGATATGGTATCCAAAGATACTGGCTTCAAAGATCTGCTTCATCTTCTCCTGCTCAGCCTCTCACAGATCAGCTGCTTGGCCAATGGCTGTCCAGGAAATAACTGTCCAGGGGATGGTCAAGGACATATATTGAAGTTAAGCACCTGATCTATGATGGTGATGAGCATGGTGATGCTAGGATCATCTGAAGGACCTGGTTCACGCCAGAATATGGGTCTTTCCCATTTTCCCACTCTTCTACTAGGATGCTCCACCACCACCAAAGGAAAGGCAGACATTTTTATATGCTCATAAACAGCAGAAGGAGAAGTACCCATCTCTAATAAGCACAGCACACTACAAGGCCCTGGCAACCATAGAGGCTATCTGATCATGCTTGCCACTCTTCAATAAATGTTAAATCCCAGAAGTAAACACAAAATCCTTAGAGATACAAAGGCTCTCTACAACACTAGAATGATTAGGCAATTATTTGGCAAAATTCAGAGAACTGGGCTTTTCCACTGTCCTCCAGTCAGTCTCCCAAGGGCCAAGACAGCCCTTCTGGTCCATCCATTTCTAAGAACCCACATAGGTTAAAGGTTCTCCTTATTCTTTCCCTCATCCATCAGCCAGACCTACTTCCCCTGCTTCCTGAAGGTCATGCACTGGCCCTCCTCACAATGGCCTGATTTCCCTTCCAGCACCCAAAGTTTCTACCCAGTGAACACTGGTAAAGGAAAGAAGAGCAGGTGATAAAACAAAATAGATAGCATGACTTTATTTTTTTTTCTTCCATATTTTTTATTGATGTCTTATAGTTGAACATAATGATGGGATTCATTGTTATATATTCCTACATGCACACAATATATCAGTGTACTTTGGCCAATGCCATTTCCCAGTATTTCCCCCAGGGGAAATACTTCCTCTGAGGAAAGACATTCAAAGATGGAAAATTTTAAAACAACTTTGACATATAACTTACTCATAAAATTCATTCATTTAAATTCAGTGGTTTTAAGTATATTTAGAGTTGTACAATTGTTGCCTCATAAATTTTTGAACTTTTTATTACCACAGAAATAAATACTACCCATTAGCAGTCACTCATAGTAGCGTGACTTTATTTTGTTAAACATTAACAAAATATTTTGAAATAGATATTTCTTTGGTACCAGGGATTGATCTCAGGGGCATTTGACCACTGAGCCACATCCCCAGCCCTATTTTGTATTTTATTAGAGATAGGGTCTCACTGAGTTGCTTAGCGCCTCACTAAATTGCTGAGGCTGGCTTTAAACTTGAAATCCTCCTGCCTCCGCTTTCCTAGCCACTGGGAATACAGGCGTGTACCACCATGCCTGGCCTTGAAGTAGATATTTCTATGGAAAAACTATAGTAAGAAACACAATGGATAGTGATATTTCTCAACTGTTTAAGTTCATTAGTGAAAATATATTACTTGTATAATAAAAGTTAATGAAACAAGAATAATAATTGGTGTTTACATGTTGGCTTCTTTTTGTTAGTGTTAGCAAACATGATACCATTGACTCTCTTGTCATGGTTACCACCAGCAAATTAAGAAACAAACAAAAAATCCTAAGGTTCAGGAGACCAATTCCACTTGTGGACCTCCTATGAGAGTCATTTTCTACTAGTGCATAAAAACAAAGCTATGATATTCTCATTGTTCACCTAAAATCCTCAAATAGCAGGCTACCAGCTTTGCATTTGTGTTCCCCCTGCCTTCCATATCCCTTGTTAAGAATCAAGGTAGGTCAGAAAACGTAAGCTCTATGTGCAAAAAAATAAGCACATACTGTTTGTGGGACCTAAGATACAACTGAGCTCCTGAAAGCAATGGGATATGGAACAGAAAACACAGGATTCAGTCAGAAGATCTAGGATCCAGTTCTGATGCCAGTGATGTCCTTTTCATCTTCTTAAGATCCAATTCAGCTTCTTAAATACCTACTATTTGCCAGGCATCGTTTATTGGTATGAGGATGAATGAGACCATGCAAGGGCTTTGTAGACAAACAGGGAGGTGCCACACACATATAGGGATTTGTTAGCCTGCCCTGCAAGTGCTAAGGAGAACTGTTAACCTGTTAACAAATCAGATATCATCCCCCTCTCTCTCATCTCTCATCTGCTCACTCAGTATGGAATCACCCAAATCAGAAGGTGCTCAGCAGACTGTAAGTATGAGCTGCAGTTCCAACAACTGCCCTTAAGACCTCTCTCCTGGACCACTGTCCAAGGTCACTGTTTGTTTCTCTGTCTTAATATATACAGCTGGGCTTACACCTGGTGGTCACTGGGCCTCTTGTTGTGGGAGGAAGGCAGCCAATGTCTTATAATACCACACAGCACACCTGCCCACCACCAAGTGAATTTCATATGTAACACCCGAACTATATTTAAGTCAGACCATTCAAAATATACGCTCCAAATTTTAAGAAAATCTATGGAGTCCTTTCCGAGCAATGCAGTAATAGATGATTTTATTTACATAGATTATCATAAATATGTCTTTTGCTGAATGAGCAAATGCTTGCCTCAGCCATAAATGAAGTCTTTAATGTTCAAATTCTGCCTAAGAACTAGACCAAAGAACCCAGCACTTTGTTGAAATCCAAAGGAGAGTTACTGAGTGTGTAGGAGGCACATGTCAAGTGCCCCCCTCTCCCCCCTCACCAAGTGAGGCTGCAGGGAAACTCACCCACACACTTTTTCCCATCCTCAGCCAGGGTATAGCCACTGTAGCACTGGCAGACGAAGGAGCCCGGCACGTTCACACAGAGCTGCTCACAGGCATGGTCCTCCGTGGCACACAGATCCTGGACTAAGGCAAAGTTGCACCGTTAGAACACAGCTCTGGAGGAGGAGCACCCGGGGGATGCAATGACCAACTCTATTGCACTTGCTAAAATAACATTCAAAACCATATTATAAATATGTGATCATACTAGAAGATTTGGGAAAAAATGCATAAAAGGCAATCCATCTGTAACCCTACCAGTAAGAGGCCACCACTGGTAATATTTTGGTGAATTTTATGTATATGTAGAGACATATTTTCAAAGTTGGAATTATTTCTCACCTCTATGAAATACATTAAATAGTTTTTAATTAACATCAATTTGTATTTTCTGATGCCAATGGAAACTGCTTTGAAAATATTCCCAGGGCTCTTGAGAACTGTATGTTATCAGTATGTCATTTGGGGTCACTATTTATTACACGTCCACAAAGTGCTGAGCCCTAGCTATTTACCCACATGCACATACAGGCACACATTTACTGGCATACAAGAACGTGTCTGAGGACGAGAAGGTTAAAGGAATCTCCAGTCCACCACTGATTCAGTCTCTCCTTGGCACAAACAGCAGACCATACTGGCATTTTTTCCCAGCAAGGAGATGACTTGGATGCCACAGACAGCTAGCTCTTTCAGTGATTTTGCCATAAAAATTGGAGAAAATCGGAGAGTATGAAAAGGATTGAATATATTATAAGAGAATTTTCTCTGGTTAAAAGGTATCTTTATGACAGGTATGATAAAAATTCAATTACCTAGAAAGCTTGATCGGTCCCTCAATCCAACGGTTACACTTTTAATAGCACCTCCTTGACCTTTGAGTTTCATAAATTATTGTGCTTTTAAATACAAAATATTAAAGTGATTAAAAATATTAAATCTATATGAGTCAGCATATCTTATTAATTGCCTTGAACAATTTTTAAAAATAAAATCTACATTATCACATGTTTAAAATGCTTACGTTTAAGATGCCATTAATAAGGATTCTTTCTGGTTTTAAAATGCTAAAAAGAAATATTTGTCACTCCCAAACCTCTAAAGTAGATGAAAAAAAAAAAACCTGATAGACTCAAATTCTTTTGCCTCTTACCAGCAGGTTTATATCTTATATTTCCATTTGGGAACTCTAGTTAGGATTTTCCATGTGTATTTCCAGTGGATTTAGATATAAGGAAAACAGTAATAATCAGAAAAAGAACTCCAGCTGGTACAAAAATCATAGTGAAAAATCAGGGAAGAACAAAATCTACAGTTATAAACCTAACCCAGAGTTGTAAACAAGATCTGAATCATAGGATATTCATTTATTTATTCAATAAACATGTGTTGAGCATCTACTATGTCCCAGACCCTGGAGATACGTTGGTGAACAAAGCAAAAAAAGGAATTCGCACAGCTTGTATTCTACTAAAAATTAAAAATTAGTAACTTGAATACATAGGAAATGTGTTTCTGGCTGAAAGAATAGCAAATGCAAAGGTCCTGAGGTGGAACAAACTGGCCCCGTTTGAGGAACTGAAAGCCAGAGTGGCTGTTAGTATCTAGATTTCCCTTCGAGGTCTATGTGTTCAGAGGTGGGGGTTTGGGGAAGTGATTAGATCATGAGTGCTCTGACCTCATCAGTGGATTAATCCATTGGTGGCTGAATGGACCACTGGGAGGTGGGATCTAATGGAGGAAGTAGGTCACTGAGGGTGTGCCCTGGAAAGGTGTGTTTTCTTGGCAGCCCCTCCCTCCCTTTCTCTTTCTCTCTCTCTCTCTTTCCTTCTACTAGTTGCCATGAGCTGAGCAACTTTCCTCTGCCACATCCTTTCACCATGATGTTCTCTCTCTCCCTCCTTCTCCCTCCTTCCCTCCCGCCCGCAGTCTTCCTGGGCTGCCAAGAGCTGAGCAGCGCCCCTTGGTGCTCTGCCTCATCTTGGGCCCAGAGCAATGGAGCCAGCTGACCTTGGACTGAAACCTTTGAAACTATGAGCCAAAATAAATGTTTCCCTTTCTAAGTTGTTTCTTGCCGTGTATTTTGGTCACAGCAATGAAGAGCTGACACAGTGGCTTTCATCAGATGTAACCAAAATGATTAAAATACGAGATGGACCAGGATGAAATCCCCGGGCAATGCTAACAATGTGGGAGCATCAGAGTGGGGATGTGCTACTGCCAGTCAGTCAGAGACTGGGCAAGGCTGGCAGGTGAGGGCTAGGTGTTTGAAGAACGCGAAACAGCACTCCAGGCCTCAAGAACAGTGTGAGCACAGTGCAGAAGACAGGAAAGCAGGACAGGCCTCACAGCTGAATTTCCCTCAGGGAATTCCAGGGCAAGTAGCAGAAGATGATGGGAAAGACCACTGACCCCAGATGGCAGAGGACTGTGGACACACAGGTGGAGTCATCTGAACTCCACTCTGCAGGCGGTGGGGACCACTCAAGGAGAAAACCTTAAGAAAGAGACTAGTGACTGACTGCACCTCAGCTGTGCTTGGAAGGATCAGTCTGGCAGCATCACAGATTCTCTCAATTCTGGGAATCTTCAACCACATCTAGCCCAGCTCAATGAACACCACTGTGCGGTTTTAGCAACAGTGGCAGGTTCCTGAATTCCAGGCTGAGGAGCTCTGGTTTGCATGCAGGCTGATGAGAAAATCACCTCTTGCTATGAGGATCTTGAATTGTTCAGGGATTCTGACCTCAATTCATCAGCTGTTAGTGTGTCCCTGGTCTTTTTTCCTCCTGGCATGTATCATGATGCTAATTACTTAAGTGTTTGTGCAGTGATGTATTCATGCATCTCCTTTACTAGACTCTAAGCTCCCTACACTGGTGGGTAGCATCCCTGCACAAAGTTCTGATGGCTGGGAAGTGAGGTTCCAACCAGCTGTCCCCCAACAGCCCAAGCCCATCTCTGGAGGAAGGCAGGAGCTTCTGCACCTGGACCCGCCCACTCTCTGTTCCAGGTGCTGCCTGCCTCCTTTGGGATGCAGCAGGAACCCTGCCTAACTGCAGTGACCAAGGCACTGAAGGAAAATAGGTGATTTTTCTTCCATTATTTATAATAGTCTGAATTCAAATTTTCTAACAAATGTTTTTATAATAATGGGGAGAAATCAACATGTTACAAAAGAACTTTTTTGAAAGTGTTTTAAAAGTAGAATCAGAACCTTATGGCAACAATCCCTGCCTCTCAATACTTCCCCCTAGGTAGAGGGAGAGGCAAGAAAATGCTCATTCCTTTCCAGACAGGTTGGGACACCTGCAGGAAGGTCCTGTCTATGGGATCAGCAGTGCATGCCTCAGATGCCCAGCAGAACCTTCTGGAGACTTTCTGACAATCCTGATGCCAAGGTACCCACCTTCCATGAAACCAGACTGGCTACGGGTAGGATTTAGGCAGTGGTATTTATCAAGGCCCCCCCAACCCTCTAGGGTGCAGCCAGATGAGAGTCTTTGAACCCAATGGATAAAAAAAAAAAAGTTCCTGCAGTCTTCCAGAGGGAAGGTGCCTAGACCTGGGAGTAAATCTCCCTTTATTATCTGAGACCCCTCCCCCACGGCTCAGTTTCCTCTTTCAAACAAATCTCACGAGTGATTGCTCCCCTTGCTTCCCTCTCAGAGCAGCTCAAGGAACACCAGATGCACATGAGAGTGCAAAGTGGTAGGAAAAGGAAGAAGTACTGCTCGCATTCCAGAAGAATCGTCCCATGAACGGCGAGTGTGCCAGTTGGCTCCAAGTGCAGTGTCCTTTCATACTGTTTTTAGAAAGTTGGGGATTTATGGCCAGGAGTGATCTGTATGGACCCAAGGGAAACCATTGAGGGATTAATCTAATTAAACAAAGACAAAGGAATAAATACAGACTGGGTCTTGACAAAACAATTTTGTTGTTTTCCTGGCAGTGGTCACTTCCATTTGAAACAAGGACAGATGTTTTTGGATGATTCCTTATGCTTTTGAAAAGCAGCAATTTTTTTTTTTCTTCTCACAGGCTGAGAGAATTTCACTGGGGGCGATAAAACAAGCTGAGGGGGATGGGAAAGGCTTCAGTTACTCCAGCACAGCCTTCTTCCTTCTTTTCCTGGTGTCCACACTTAGGGCTCATGACTTCAGTCAAACGTGACCTCCTGAAGGAGCTTTCTCCAAGCTAAACAGGGCTTAGGTCTCCTTCCCCCAGGCTCCCATAGCCTAGACACATGGCTCCCTCTGGCACATAGGCATTTACCCTGTTATTGGAAGGACTGAATCACATGTCTGCCTGCCCCAGTAGAGCATGAGCTGGTCTACTTGGTTTTGATTCCCAGATCCTAGTGCAGTGTTCGGGTGCATGCAGTTAGTGCTCCATAAGTGTTCATTTGCTGAAGAAACAATGACAAAGGCTCATATGCCCTGTCTCCCAACAGGGCTGTTCCCAAAGTCCCACAAATACTCTCTTCCCCTAGAAACGGGGTCCTGAGAAAATAAGTGAGAAGCGAACACAACTCTCTTCAAGTCTCTGTGCCTTTGCTCATCCTCAGCAAGAGGTATTCCCATACTGAAAGCAGCCTTGGAGTATGGTGACATCTGAGCACCAAGCCCTAGCTGTGTAGGGGATCTGTGTGTCTTTCCTGGGGAGCTGGTGGCTATGCATTTCCCAGCTCATCACTATTGAGGGACTGACAATAAACAAGATGAATAGGTAAATATATATGGTCTGTTCTATAACTAGGGAAGGGCATTCAGGAGCATTGAGAGGAGGCCTTCCATTTTAAATAGTGTGATCAAAAAAGGGCTTTGCTGAAATGATTTTGTGCGAGGACCTGGGGAGGTGATGTGGAAACAGGCTGAGGGCCTGGCTGGAGCAGGGCAGTTAGGTTTCTTTGGGAAGGGTGGGGATGAGCTGGCAGGTAGAAACTATATCAGTTTTAGAGTCAAACTGTAGTGGCACTCCCTTTCTCCACAGAAAAGTCTTAACTGGGCTTCTCCAGAAATCTTCACCATGGCTGATTTTAGGACAGTCAGCAAAAGAATCTCTACAAAAGAGTTCAATGTAGG